GAGGCTGAGCTGGGATACAGAGTGAGTTCCAGGAAAGTCAAAGGAAGACGAAGAAGAAGAAGAAGAAGAAAAACCAGAAAAAAAAAAAAAAAAAAAAAAAGAAGAAGAAGAAGAAGCAGAGAAGAGAACCTTCTACTTCCTGTTGCCGGCATATCAAGATGTAGAAGCTCCTTCTCCAGCACCACGTCCGCTTGCAGGCTGCCATGCTCCTGCCATGATAGTGGACTAAACCTCTGAAACTGTGCACAGCCACCTCAATTAAATGTTTTTTCCTTATGAAAAAGGAAAAGCAGCAGCAGCAGAGAAGGGATGGAGTCAAAACTTTTAAATGCTCTTAGCTGAAATGTCATTGTATGATGAATGGCAAAGAGTGACTCCCTTTGCAAGTTTCTGATGCACCTGCATCTATGGCCTTTCCTTGACGTGGAACAATTCTTCATACACTGTAAATATGTATTACTCTCAGTTAATAAAGAGCTGATTAGCCGATGGCTAGGCAGGATTTCTGGGGTAGAGAGAATGTTGGGAAGAAGGGCAGAGTCTGAGGTGTCACCAGACAGATGGAAAGAAAGGAGGACATGCAGGAGAGGTAAAAGCCACAAGCCTTGAGGCTGCACATAGATTAATAGAAATGGGTTAATTTAAGTTGTAAGAGCTAGTTAGTAATAAGCCTGAGCTATTGGCCAAGCATTTATAATTAATAATAAGTCTCTGAGTGGTTATTAGAAGCAGCTGCTGGGACAAAGAAAACTCCGCCTATATTTCCTTAGTGTGTTTGCTGGAAAAATACTAACCAATGGGGCAGTGTCAAAAACTGAGAAACTGTATTAATTAGTGTCATTAATCTGAGGTTAGGCTGGAAGTGAGAAACACATAAAATTATTCATTTTTTTGCCCTCAGGAGCTAGAGGCAGGTGGATCTCTATGAGATCAAGACCAGACAGGGAATCAGAAAATTTTCTGGCTGAGGGTAGTGGCTCATGCCTGTAATCCAAGGAGTTAAAGGTAAGAAGTTTGCCTCAAGGATTGCACATGTTCAAAGCCAGTTGGGCTACAGTATTAAAATTAAAAATTAAAAATTCTAAATTAAACTAACAAGATACTATTGAATAAATGTATTATTATATAAGGTATCTGTTTTTTAAACAATAAATGTCATAAATATTTAGGCAAATAACTACACACACACACACCCCTTTCCTAGTTCCCATCCTCAAGGTACTTAGGGCTCAGAAATGATTACTGAATATGATAGTGCTAACTTAGTCAAATATGAGCCCCATAGCAGAGACCTGACATAGAGTGTTATCGCTAGCTGGAGAGATGGTTCGGTGGTTAAAAGCACATATTGTTCTTGTAGAGGACCTGAGTTTCCAGCACCAACATACAACAGTCTGGCTTACAATGGTCTGTAATTATAGTCCTAGGGGATCAATGCCCTTTCAGTCTCCCTGGGCACCAGGCATGCATGCAGTATATAGTCAAACACATAGACAAAACACTACATACATAAAAATAAACATTTATATACATGTATACATACATATATGTACAGTACACACACTTTTTATTTTTATTTTTTTTTAAAGATTTATTTATTTATTATGTATACATGTATGCCTGCAGGCCAGAGGAGGGCACCAGATTTCATTGTAGATGGTTGTGAGCCACCATGTGGTGGCTGAGAATTGAACTCAGGACCTCTGGAAGAGCAGCCAGTGCTCTTAACCTCTGAGCCACCTCTTCAGCCCCCACTTTTTATTTTTAAAGAAAGAGCCAGGTGGTGGTGGTGCATGCCTTCAATCTCGGCCCTTGGGAAGCAGAGGCAGGCGGATCTCTAAGTTCAAGGACTTCCTGGTCTATAGAGTGAGATCCAAGACAGGAACCAAAACTACACAGAGAAACCCTGTCTCAAACAAACAAACAAACAAAAGAACCCCAAAACCAAACAAACAGAAAACAAATCTCAAATGCTCCAAAGTATGAAACTTATTATTATGTTTTCCTTTTCTCCATGCAAGGTGCTGAACCTAGTGGCTTGTGTGTACCACACATGTGCTCTACAACCTAGGAACCCCATGCTGGGGGAAGGAAGAGGTTAAAGCCTGGCAGCAGGCAGAGGTGGACAAGATTTTACACACGTTGACGACCTCTCAGACCACTCTGTAGAGACCAGAGGATGGGCCAATGGTGGGTGGGGCCATAACTTGACCAGGCTGTTTAGAAGTACAGATCTCCAGCCCTCCATCTCAAGTTTAATCTCACGTCTGGACCATGAAAAGAGATGTGAAAGATCATTGGGTCTCTCTGCCTCTCTTCCCAGTTTAGCCGAATTAAATAAATCTCCCTTTTCTGCGATTTATTATCCCTTTTACCGTTCTAGCTAGCTTACAAAAGACAACTGACTGAACCTGGCTTCTTGAGATAACAATTGTGACACCAAGTTTGGTAACAATGATACTTTAATACACACACACACAGACAGATGTTGCAAAATCTGGTGAGGGGATCTGAAATCAAAACAATTCTGGCTCCAAGTGTTTCAAACATGGAGTAGTCAACCTGCACACCTACAAATGGGCAAGGTCTCAGAGTAAGAACAGAAGTTTTTTAAATTTATTTATTATGCATACAGTGTTCTGTCTGCATGTATGCCTACATGCCAGAAGAGGGCACCATACCTTATTATAGATGGTTCTGAGTCACCATGTGGTTGCGGGGAATTGAACTCAGGACCTCTGGAAGAGCAGCCAGTGCTCTGAACCTCTGAGCCATCTCTCCAGCCCCCAGAAGTTGGTTTTGAATACTAACAATGAACAGAAATTGGTTTTGAATACTAACACTTCAGGCTCCAAATCAATTATCAGCACGGAATGGTCAGTGGTCACTGGTCTACAAACCCAGCAGGAATCAGAGGTCAAGTGAGGGCATTCTTAGACTCTCCTGTCTTCTTCCAGGGAGTGATTAAGCTTCCACGAGTGAGGAACAGCCTATCTCATGACAAGAGGACAAGGGTATACCTGTTCTGTAAAGCCAGCCTTCCCGCTGCTGGCACAGTGCCAGGCCCACACACTTTGACCAAATGTGTGGCATTTTAGGGGCATGTGGAGCACTATGCATACTCTCCTAAGCACCGGGCTGATCATCAATGCTTCTAACAATGCAAAGGCAGCACAGATCGGTGGTCTAGGACCATCAGCTTAGGAAGGAGGGGGGACAGAAAGGATCCTGGCGGAGGGAACTCTGAGCCAAGAAAGGTGCGGTGGCGAGTGTGTGTGTGAGAGTGTGCAAATAAATGGTCTGTTTCTAATGAGCCTGACTTCTCCTGGGGTTACTGAGGAGTTACCTGCCGCCAAAACGTGTCCAAATATGACCTCGGACACCTCTTCTGGAGCCACCTTGGCCCTCTGCAGGACTTCTTTGATGACAGTCGTCCCCAGGACGTGGACAGGCACAGTAGACAGGGCACCATTGAAGGAGCCTGTAAGGGAATGGGGAAGAGGGATCTGAACCCAGAGCACACTGAGGACCACCGAGGAGGAGGAGTATGAGGATGCGGCATCATGCTCTCCATGCACAAAAGCCTGGCGCCGGGGCGGGCCAAGGCGACGGGGGCTTGCAGGACAATGCCAAGGCCGAGGCCTGCCCCGATCCCCTGCTCGGACCACCCGCTCCCGGCCCCCACCACCACAGCGTGACCGATGGCGCTGGGCAGAGCGGGCCAATCAGCGATCGGGAGAGAGAACGCGTCCCAGGGGCAGCCAATAGGTGAGTCTGGCAGAGCGGTGGTTCTACGGCCAGGAACCAATCGCAGCGCGAGGGGCGGGGCCGCGGGCGAGGCGCGAGGCACAGGTCCGTGGCGTCCGCGGCCGGCCGGCCGCCCCCCGTCCCGGTCACGCGAGCCCGGTTCTGGGCGCCCGGGTCCGGGGAGGCCGAAGCGGCCCCGCGGGACACTCACCTACGGCGGTCCGCGCCGCGGAGACGATGACCACGGGGTCCGAGCCTGCGTTCATCCTGCGGCTCCGCTTCCGGCCAGCCAGCTGTCAGCCAGGCGCCGTGTACGACTGAGGTAAAACTTCCTTCAACTTCCCTGGCCGTGCTGGGGGCGGGGCTATGGCCTCCACGCCACGCCTCCGCGCCACGCCTCCACGCGCCTGCGCGACTCGCTGGGCGGGCCCAAGTCTCCGAGGTGGGTGGGGTTGTAGCCTCTGGTGGTGTGGGATGGGGTTGGCACCCGCGCGGCGGGGTGTGTCGGGTTAGGGTGGGCGTAGGCGATCCAGGGGTGCTGGGTTGGGCGAAGGGAGCCTGGGGGTGTCGGAGAGCGATGTGGGGTGCCGGCGGTCCAGGAGTCTTAGGTGGGGTCGGGGGTAAACGGTCTAGGGGTGTCGACCTGGGCGGGGTTCACACTCCGGAGAGCCTCGCCCAGCCTTTCCTGGGTAGGCACGTCCCGCCCCTCCTGGAAGGTGCTCCTCAGCGCTGGCCGCTTCCAAGAGATCCTTAGGGCGGCGGATCGCTGCTGTTTCAAACCTCGCGGACTTCTTACGCAGCCAAAGTCACTCTGTTAGGCTTGCTTCTTACCTGTCTGCCTCGTGTCGTTCACGCCTTTTGGAGACTCCCTCTGGCCACTCTCAGCCCGCTCCCACTCTCCAGCTCCTCCACCACCACCCACCACCACCACCACCACCACCACCACCACCACCACCACCACCACCGGCCCTCTACAGTGCCCATGTATTCGGAACGGAGAGTCATCTTGGTTTGCTTCTGCAGCTTGCTGGCCCACAGAGAATGCCACCTATTGAGGAAAGCGGAATCCTGTGCTGGAAAGGAGAGGCTTTTTCTAGGCCAGTCTCGCAGTGAGCGGGAACAGTGGACGGTGAAGTAAGAGAAAGGTGCCACAGGTTGTGAGGGAAAACTGACGTAAGCTGGGGCCTCCTCCTGAAATGTATACTGAAAAATCACTAAGATCTTGAGAGATGTGGATGGGTCAAATAAAATGGGTAAGTGTAGACGCCTGAGATGGGGCTAAAGAGAACACTTGCCCGCTCGAGAAATCCTTAGCGTCTGCCATTAGTGGTCCTCCCCGTTGCAAGCGCTCACTTTAAGTCTTCCCTTTGTAGTAAGTAGTTTGGATTGTGCTGCCTGTTCCCACGAGTCCAAGAATTTAAGGGACTTACCCGTGCTTTGTGCTTATTACATTTTTAAAGGATGTATTCATTCTTATTCTATGTGTATTGATGTTTTGCCTGCATGTGTGTCTGTGTCCTGTGCATGCAGTGCCCGAGTAGGCCAGAAGAGGGGACTGGAGTTAGAACAGGTTGTCAGCTGCCCTACTTGTAGGTCATAGGAATTGAACTCCAGTTCTCTGGAAGAGCAGTCAGTGCTCTTAACCCCTAAGCCATCTCTCCAAACCCCCAAATAATAAATTATTTCTTTCCTAGGAAAAGGAAAAATCAAAGGAACTATTGCTCTTTTCTCCATTCATTATTTTTAGCTCGTGTCTTGCCCATGCATGGCTCTCAGTAGACGATTGTAAGGAGCTGTAATGAAGATTTCACAGTGTTTGCTGCTGCTCATTCAACAAAAGCAGTTAGCTTCTTGAGATCTTCTCCTCTGCTGGTTCCCAGTAGAGTCTCCAGGCAGGAGACAAATGAAAACACACCTTGTCCCTAAAAGAATATATTCCTACTCACTTTTTATGTGTGTTTATGTGTGGAGGCCTGAAACTGGTGTGAGATCTTTCCTAACTGTTCTACTTTTGAGGCATGAGCGATCAGTAAACCAACAGCTAACCAGTGCAGCCTATCTAACTAGCCAGCTTGATCCAGGGATCCCGTCTCTACCTTGAGACTGGAATTATAGGAGGACTTCCACATCCACCCAACATTTACATGAGTTCTCAGAATCTAAACTCTGGTCCTCTTGATTGCACAAATGCTTTAATCACTGAGCAAACTCCACAGAACCATAATATATATATGGGTCATGTAGCCCAGTCTACCCTTGAGCTCCTGATTCTCCTGTCAGTTTTACAAATGCTCAGATTATAGGCCTGTGCCCCCTCACCTAGCTCATATCCATTTATTCTTAAGCACAGAACATAAGGGATATACTAGTGTTCATCAGACTTGCTGCCTAAAATGTGCTCGGCATATACAATAGAACAGTGTAAGAAGGGATCAAGAATACTATGTAGAGCATAATAGAGGAAACTGGAAACTAAGAATTATATGTTTAAGTAGAGAGATAAAATTAGGTGTAAGAGCTGAGGGGACACAAAGGTAGGGCTTAGGAAGGCTTCCTGGAGGAAGTAAAATCTAAGCAGAGTTCAAGAGATTTCTAGCTTCTCCAGAGAAGGTTATACCATTCACCAAGTCTTCAGATAGAAGAAATAAGCTGAAGAGGTAGTCACAATGGCTTTGGATTAGATGTGATAAATTAGATATTTTTATAGAAAGTTTAAATAGAGAGGGCCAGTCTGCTCATAGGCAACAAGGTTAGACAGGATTTGAGAGCTGTCAACATCACGGGTGGTAACTGAAGTGAGGGGTGGACACAGTGCTTCCCGGGGAGCTGCCGCAACATTGGGTATGAGGCAGTCAGGGTAAGCCCACAAAGGGGACTGAAGAGTGGCCAGAGTCATGGGAAACAGAGGGCTGCAGAGATGGCACAGTGGCTAAGACCACTTACTGCTCCTGCAGAGAAATGGGCTTGGTTCCCAGCACCCACATGGTACCTCACAACTTGCTGTAACTCCAGTTCCAGGGGATCCAGCATCCTCTTCTGCCCTCTGCAGACACTAGGCATGTATGCAGAGGAGAAGATCTCAAGACGCTAACTGCTTTTGTTGAATGAGCACCAGCAACACTGTGAAGTCTTCATTACAGCTTCTTACAATCGTCTACTGAGAGCCATGTATGGGCCAGATGCAAGCTAAAAATAATGAATGGAGAAAAGAATAGTAGTTTCTTTTTATTTTTCCTAGGAAGGAATCATTTATTATTTTGTTTTACAGTTCCAAAGGGATGTCTATCATGGCAAGGCACGGCAGCAGGCAAAGGAAACATGGCAGTAGAAGGAAGCTGCTGGTCACATTTTAATCCTCGCAGGAAGCAGAGAGCTAGAATAGTTTTGCTGGTGCTGTGTTTTTCAAAACAAGGTTTCTCTGTAGCTCTGGCTGTCCTGGAACTCACTTTTGTAGACCAGGCGGGCTTTAAACTCAGAGATTTGCCTGCTTCTGCCTCCTAAATGCTGAGATTAAAGGCATGCATCATAATGCCCAGCTTTTTTTTTTTTTCCTTAAATATTTGTGTTGTGTATGTGTATGCACCCCACGTGTGCAGGAGCCTGTGGAAGCCAGAGGGGGATCAGATCCCCTAGAACTGGAGTTCTAGATGGTTGTGAGCCACCTTATGGATGCTAGATCCGAGTTCTCTGCAAGAGCAGTCAGTGCTTTCCACTGCTGAGTCTTCTTTCCAGCCCCTGGAATAGTTTAACACCTAGATTCATATGCTGCTAGGCTAGCAGAAGAAAAAAGATTTTAACAGTGTTACGGACTACTTGTCCTGAAGTGGTCTTGCAGTCATTCTAGGGTTGTTTCATGAATAGTTGCAGGATTCCAGTTATCAGAAAAATGCTGTTTTGTGAATATTATTTTTACAAAATGCCATATTAAATACAGTTGAGAGGAGTTCATGTGTTGAAGTCTCTTTAATAAGCACTTTTATACATGCTCACATTTGTCTTCCCAGCATTCACTCTGAGAAAGTAGCTTCAGGTTGGCCTGAATTCTCAATCCTGCTTCACCCGACTCCAAGTGTTTTGATTAGACAACAGCAGACAACAACCAGGACCAACTGTTCATTCACCAAACTGAGAATATGACAGCTGTCTTCCGATGTTAGATTTGCACTGCTTTTAATTCCTTTTGTCCATAAACTTTTTCTGGCCATGCTAGGGATAACCTGGGCTCTGACCATGCAAGGCAAGCACTCCACCACTAAGCCACACCCCTGTCCTCAGGTTGCTTCCAAGGACTGTACTTAACCAAGCTTGTTGTCTTAGCCTGCCATTTTTAACTCTACTTTTATATCATGCATTCTTTCAGTTACTGCATAGCCATCATGTTTGATCGCCCCCAGCTCTAGTCTCCAAATTTTGGCACAGCAACCTCCAAGACTGTCCTCCTCACTCAGGTTTGTATTGTTTCTTCCTTTTATTCAGAAGGGCGAACACAGGCAGGAAAACATGAAGGTAGCCTGTCGTATTTAGACTGGATATTATCAAGGGACACCCAATGATAATTCTCTAAAGGGCAGCCTCAGTGTTACTAAGTATTGAAGGTGTCATCACCATATTTTATGAAAAGGACAATGACGAGGTGCTGCAGTTGCACAGGTAGGGAGAAGAGGAAGAGAAAGCAGTATCATCTGAGTTAGCCATGGTGGTCAGCCATGTGGTGGACGAGCTCCTACATGGCAAAAATGAGTCTGGGGGCTGAAGAGATGGCACATCTGTTTAGAGCATTTGCTCTTACAGAGGACCTGGTTCCCAGCACCCATATGGCAGGAAGCTCACAACGGCCTGTAACCTCCAGTTTAGGGGATCTGATGGTGACTTGACCTCAGCATATATTAGGCACACCCATGATACATACACCTACATAAAAACACTTCACATAAAATACCACCCCACCCCTGCCCCCGACAGCGTTTCTCTGCAACAGTTTTGGCTGTCCCAACTTGCTTTGTAGACCAAGCTAGACTTGAACTCACAAATCTTTTTCTTAAAGGGAGGTAGGGAGCTTCAGAGAGAGCAAGGAGTATTGGGAAAGCATACTTAGACCAGGGAAAGAAGAAAAAAATCACTGTAATTCAGATAGCAGACCAGTTGAGGAAGCTGCCTGGCTGTGGCTCTGTAAGCTTCTAGGAAGGAAGACTACATTATCTCATTAAAGGTATAATTAGTCCTGAGCAGGCCTGAAGGTGGATCTGCCTTCTTGAGCAGTGGTCCCTTTGCCAGGTGACTGACCTGCCCGACTGTATTAACTCCTAAGGGAGAGGATAATGGTATGTCTCCACACAGGTAGATGCTAATTTTCTGGCTAGGAGGCAACAGCTTCAAGGCCCTGTAATACCAGAAGAAACTACTTTGCAAATTTATTTGGTAAATTATCAAGTAAAAATTTGTACTTGGCCAGGTGGTGGTGGTGTAGGCCTTTAATCCCAGGACTCGAGTGGCAGAAGCAAGCAGATCTCTGTGAGTTCGAGGCCATCCTGGTCTATAGAGTTCCAGGACAGCTAGGGCTACACAGAAAAACCCTTGTCTCGGAAAACAAAACCCAAACCAGACGTCTACTTATACGTGAGTAGTAGCTTGACAAAGAGGTGGCCTGTCACCAGGACTGAGACTTCAAGATTTAACAGTAGCTGACATTTACCGAGCAGTCACTGTGTGCTTGGTACTTGCTGCACACTGAACGATGTATCTCTTACACCCTAACTTTGTGTGTTGAAACTATTTCCCACTGATGAGAGGTGAGACCTTTGGATTACAATGACTGAACCCTCCCACACAGGCTGAGAAATGAAATGACGTCTCTGCCTTCTGGAAATACATCTGAGGTCCTCACTAGGAACCAAATCAGCCAGCATATCACATTCACCTCACAAATCCCAGCCTCCAGAACTGTGAGAGATAAATGTTGCTAACACCCAACCTGAGCTCAAAACAGTACTTCACTTCTACCAACTCAGTTAATGACCTTTTATGGAGCAGGGCTCTAGTCATATGACAAGATTACCAGTAATGCCAGGACTCAACTTTACTACTTTCCCAAACCACTTCATCTGAATAGGGTCCATCACTTTTCCCAGCAAATGAGGCATCTAATTCCAGACAGAAATGAGGACTGCTGACTTCACATGCAACCATAAATCTTAAGTTACTTACCAAGTAGAATTAACAAAAATCTATTTTGACATTAAGCCTATATTAAATTTAGTCAGCTACACTGCTGTTGAACAATTTCCTTTTGCACAGATTATTAGATACCAATAGGATAGAAAAAGTTATATTTTTGTGTAAATTGGGTAAAAGGATATATATATATATATATATATA